TGGGTGTCCCCAGACCTCCCAGGACCAGCTCTGAGCAGGATCACAAGCCTGGCCAATTATGCAAACCCTACCCCCCCAGCTACATGAACCTCAACTCTTGCCTGTGTTCCTCTTTTCTATAAAACCCCAAAGTTTCGGTCAGTCTCTCAAAGACAGATTTTTTGTTGTTATTTTGAACTTATGATGTAGTTCAGGCTCTCACTATGCAGTTCAAACTGACCTTAAACTCACTGTGTAGCTCAGGCTGGCTTCAAACTCATGGAAATCCTCCTGCCTTAGCCTCCTGTGTATTGGGATTACAGGTCTGTGCCACCATGTCCTGCCCAGAGACAGATCTTGAAACTCTTTTTCTCGGCTTCCAACAAAGCCATGCTGATTAAATCATCTCTCCAGACCTCGACTGGCATTATGAGATGGGTAGTCAAACCTGATTTTCTGGGAGACCTGGAGCTGCGCTTTTGCTCCAAAACTCTGGGAACAATACTCGCTGGTGCTATGTGTCAGGTACTGTCTGAAGTACTTTGTAAACATCCCATCTGTTGTGGTTTGTGTCTAGATGTCCCCTCCAAAGCCTGCATGCAGTCATGAAGGCAGGCAGCTGACTTTAGATTTTGTGACTTATTCATAGTGCAATGCTAGGATTAAGGCTGGCAGATCGCTGGATCACTCCACTGATTGGATTGGCACTGCCCTAATCCCAGTGGTCTGGATAAAATAAAAGGGGCAGGGCCTGTGATACAGCTCAGTGGCACAGTGCCTGCCTGGCAAGCGCAAGGTCCTGAGTTTAATTCCCAGGCCCAAAAAGAATAATTTAAAAAAAAGATAAAAGGGGCAGAGTCTTGTTTTTCCCCTTTTGCTGTCTTCCACGGCCATGAACCATGGTGCCTCTGCCACACTACCCTGTCTTGGAGCCAGCTGATTATGGACTGAAACCTCTAGAAACTGTGAGCTAAATAAACTTTTCCTCCTTTAACTTTGGGTGTCGGGTATTTCGTCTCAGCCACGAGAGGAAAGTAACTAAGACACCATTTATTTTCATCAGCCATTATCCACGTTTTGCTGATGCAAAGCCAAAATTAGAGATGTGTGACTTACCCTCCTTCAAACAGTACCTGTCTAAGCACAGGAAGCCTTGGCTATTGTCAGACTCAGGCTATGTCAGGATGTCAGAGCAGGGGCTGGGGATACGGCTCAGTGGCCAAGGACCTGCTCAGCATATAGCAGCCCTTCGTTCAGTCCCAGCAACCCCTCTCCCCGCACATAATACAGGGGTGTCTGTATTTTGAGAGCCAAGATGGGTGCACTATTGGGCTGAACCAATCTGTTAATTTTAAACTTGTGCTTTGAAGACAGGGACTATTGGTGAGGTTGAAGAGGTGTCCTTATACCTTTTAACTGCACATGCGTTTCATTTGAGAGAACAGCAAGAATCTTGGAAATTACCTTTGTTAACGAATATTTATTAGACTATTTGCCAGGGATTAGGAAATGTCCTTCTTGTCCCTTTTGCAGTGCTAGGTATTAAACCCAGGGCTTTGCAGATGCCAGGCAATTGCCCCACCCGAGGTACACCCAGCCCTACGAGATTCCTTTCCACACCCATCTCTTAAGTGTTCGTTTTCTTCACAGAAAACTGAGACAGCTAATATTTTTTATTTTTATTTTTTGGTACCAGGAGTGGAACTCAGGACCTTGCACTTGGAGACGGCTAATTTTAAAGTTCTTCTTTTGCTTCAAATACTAGACCTTAAAGTGGCATAGTAAATTGTGACAAGGTGGAGGCAGGATGTGTGCGGCAGTTTATATCGTCAGGTGCCGTCTTTTTTTTCTCTCGATTGCATCCTACCAATATTTGCACACAAAAAAAGAGGTCAAATATTACTTCATTAGCTGTAGACAGACACATTCTAATAATACTAACATGCCTACTGTACAAACCAATTTGTTACACAGTGCTGAGTTTTTAAAGAATGTTATTTCACGTTCAGTTGATGTATAAAAAGCATAGTAGCTTCTGTCCCATTCTACTTGTTTTTGTTTTAGCTGCTAAACAGCTGACTTCCTTTCACCACTGGAGCTTTCCTTATTTAGAAAGTTTTCAGGAGGGCTTGGCCCGCTACAAAACAGGTTGAATGCATTTCCTTTTCACCTGTTTAGGCTAATGACCTTCAGTGTTATGCAGAGCAAAGAAATTATCCACTTCTATTGAGTTGGCTTGAAAAAGAAAAGACTAATTCCACTAGAATCATTAAATGAAAATAAGAAAGTTTGGCCAAAAAAAAAAAAGTCAGCGGAGGGATCTCTAGGGAATGCAAATTATTTTCCTTTGTTTAGACTGAACTAAACTCTTCAGCGCCTGCTCTGCAGCTAATTCAGCCTAGGAAAATGATTTTCTTCTCGATAGAGGCCTTCTTCTAAATTGTTTGCTGTTGATATGTCTTTTTATGCTAATTTTTTGGTGGAAATGGTTAGAACTACGACTTTCGAAGACTGATCAGTCTAAGAGAGAAATAAACTGAAGTATTGTGAAATATAGGGTACACATCCTTACATATGAGAATTGCACTATTAGCCTATAATCAATACGTGTTCTGTGATAGGTTATTACAGGCACTGAACAAAATTACACATCACTATCTTGTAGCTTCATTTAGTAGCTTTAGGAGCGGGTGACTCAGAAAGCACAAAAAAATTCTTTAGAGGTGGAATATAACTATGTAGTGAGAGTAACTTCGCACCCCTTGTAGAAGGCTGAAATACGACATGGCCACGTCTTCTAGGTATACAAGTTCCACGGGTTACTGGAAAAATAACGGCACATGGATTCCTCATCCTTGCAATACATTCCAGTTCTTCTTTAGACACTTAGCAGTGACAACTCCCTCCAGAAGCTACGGGGGCACACAGTATTTCTCAGCTTCAAAGTTGTACAACTTGAAAATCATCTATAGATACTTTTTTGTTGGTGCTAGATCTTTTGCAATAAGGCTTTAAACTCTTTGTCATGCCAAAAATCTGCCTCTGAATTAAGCAATCACCTAGTTTTTCATCTCTAGCTCTCCTTGCCAAAAGCTCTTCAATTCATCCTCAGCCAGTGCTTGGCGCCCATGGCCTGGCAACCACCTTTTCACCTCCATCCGCTGCGTTTTCGCTTCTCCAGTCCTTTGGCTGCCCTCTGGTTCCTTCCCTCGCATACCTGTCTGACTGGTTCCTAGAAGCCTGGCGGAGATTTTACCTGCGGTAAACTCGGCTACCACAAATTAGGATCCGGGAGTCCAAACACTTCTCTCTCATTACAAGTGTAAGTGGATGCGACTTACAAACAAAGAGAATGCTTTGCTTCAACTTTTTCTCTAAAAACAAATCATGCACGGGTTTTGAAAGGTGAGAATGAAGAGTGGGCGGGTAGAGAAAATAACTAGCAGAGACAACGATGGCAACAAAAAAAAGCACCAACCCTCGTTATTAAACAAAGCAGTCCCACCCTTTTTGCAAACGTTGATGTGAACAGTTATCTTTGTTTTTTCGCACCGGTCCAATCCAAGCTCTTCCGAAAAGTGGTCAGCACACAGTAGGTGCCCTATGAACACTGCTGCATGTTGAATGACTGCGAGATTAAAAAAACTGCTAAACTGGCATCATCAATAACGTGACAAAGGCGCCCGCATCAAATGTTCGCGTTCCCATACGCAGCCCCATTGTTCTGTGTCTTTTGTACCCTGCCCTCTCCATTGTTTCTGTGGTTCTAATTTTCTTCTATCCGTGTTTAAATCTAAGGACACAGAAAAACCCCCGGCATCGCAGACTCCGCGGTGCCAAGTCCCACTGGGGCGCAGCTCCTGGGTGCACGGACCGAGGGCCCGGGTCGCTGCGCCCTTTCCCGCCTTCCCGCAGGGGAGGCGAGGACCGAACCACGCCGTCCCCTCTCCCTCCCCGAGTCCCGACTTCTCTTCCGCTCGGTCCCGTCCTCCCTTTCCTTCCGTCCCGTCCCCGTCCCTCGGGCCGTCCCTGCCGGTCCCTTTCATCCTTTCTTCCCGTCCCTCGTCCCCACAGGCTGCAGAAGCCCCCGTCCCCTCGCACGTCACTTCCCCCGCTCCTCGCCCGCTCCGCTCCGAGCCGAGCTCCCCGCTAGAGGCCAGCACTGCCTGCGTCTCGTCCTCCCCGCCGGCGAGCGGAATTCAGAGAGAAAGAAGGGGAGGGGAAAAAACGAGAACGAGAGCCAGAGCAAGGGAGAGGAAAGCCCTGGGGCCCGGAGCGCGGAGGCCCGCGAGCGGCGTCGCCATGGCAACGGGCGCCGGCAGGAAGCGCGGCCGCGAGGGAGGGGGCGGCGCG